TGGAATGTGAGGTGTGATGATGTGAATGTGATGTTATCAGACCCTTCGTATCGGGAGAAACTGAGTTCTGAGTGGGAGTGAATTTGGTCTGCTATAAACTATAGTGCTCCGGACGTCACGTGACCCTCAGAGAGTAGACGCCATGTTGGCAGGCAACAAAGGTAAACAAAATGAATGGGATCGGCTTGGATTTTACTCCGTCTGAGTTTACTTCACACTTTAAAACTGAAGAAATCATTCTATATAGTCAGAAGTTAAATAGACTAAATATCTCCGACCCTTACCGTGCTCCTGGGATACTTTTTAAAAACGCCAGAAGCTGTCGGAGCGGACCTGGCCAGGGAACGCCTTGGGATTCCCCCGGAAGAGCTGGCCCAAGTGGCTGGGGAGAGGGAAGTCTGGGCCTCTCGACTTAGGCTACTGCCCCCGCGACCCGACTCCGGGTTAGCGGATGAAAATGGATGGATGGATGGATGGATGGACAAAAAACATAGATTTACATGTAAGATGTTTAAATAGAGTGCTGTGCTGTTTGAATGTGTAAACTGAACGCCAAGAGAAATCACTAGTAAGATTTTTTTTACGTGAATAAAAAAAATATGTCAGGCTGGAGTGTCTCAGGAGTGCTTTTCATGTGTGATCTGACAATTGGTCAGCCATTGCTTAAAAATTAAATACAGCTTAGCCGGTTAATTGCTTTGATCATAAGACACGTAAACGGCAGCACACAGAAATCACGAGGCAATGCTTGACGTGACGTTTACTTGTTGCTATGAGTAATAAGACAGAAAAAGTCACGCCAAAATAAGTTTAGGAAGCCCTCTAAGAATCGTAATGAAAGCATTTCAAATAAATACCATATACAGTTAAGGAAACGTTGGTTTAAGTACCTGATATGAAGTGGTCGCTGCATAAGCAAAAATCTTTACTCTCGGGATCCCACAATTTCATTTTAGCCCGGTCACTAGCACGTTTTATTGCGATGATGCAACGTTTGCGGCGTTCTGGAACTTGGGGAATCCTGTAGATGGCTCATCTCTCATGTTGTCCGCGTCTGTTCAGGCATCCTGGGGCACAACAGGAATCTACTATATTTCCCGTTTGATTGAGTTTTCTGACAATAACAAATAGCCTAGCTGCGGGCTTCTGCCTGCCAAGATGGCGCAGTTTCGATTTGAACTGTTGCATGCCGGGAGAAGTGACGTCAACTCCCGGAGCTTTATAGTGATGGTTTATAAAACCACATCAGACGCAATCTGTCGAGTTTACATATCCTTATCGGAGACTCTTTTTTTTGGATCTGAGATGTTGGGGAGTCCGTGGACCCCACGGTACCAAAGTCCGTAGAGAAACCGCAGTACGATCAGGTCAGTCTAGAGTCGTCTCCAGGTCACGACGAACAGGTGGACTTGTTTTGCGTCTATGGAGTAACTCTTAAGGAGTTGAAGCTGGTTCAGCTTTATTCTGAAGGAAGCGTTTGCAGTCAGCTGTAGCGTGCAACAGGCTTTGACAGCTTGTCAAAGATGCGCTGGATTGAAGAGGTTTTGCTTCAGATGGCTGGTCCGAAGCTTTCTCAAAAACTGACTCACTCAGGAAGTGAGTTATGTTTTAACAGCGGCCATATTTTGACTACATGTCCAACCAGAATTTGACGTGTAAAGGGGTTTTACCAAATAAACCTCAGAACATCAGATAGAAGAGCTCTGATTTGTGGATCAGGAAATCTCTATGTGCAGTGACGTTTAACTTTAACTTGCGTCATGGAGATATGGTGAGTGTGTGTGAGCTTGGCAGTAGATAGTGATTCACTTGTTAAATTAACTTACTGATCATAACATAATATTCATTTCAGCTTCAGTAATTTAAGGACAAATTAATCACAACATTGGTATTATTCTTCAGCCATTATTCATTCATTATATGATTATTTTAACACTCCATTATTCATAACGGTTCATTATTATAAAAGTTCCTTCTTCTTGTTCTGTGAAGCAAAGCAGTCTAAGATAAGCGGAAAGCTTGAGAGGGACCTTGGCCAAGCAACAGTATCTTTTCTTGCAGATTGAAAGCACCAGTTAAGACTTATGTCTCCAAATGGCCAGATACTGAAGAGGTCAGACTGTAGGTGGAAAACTGACCTTTTCTGGAGGCTACACTTTTGAGGGTCACCGATTATCAGTTGGTATCTTTGCTTTTATTTTACATTTCCTTTGGAAATTCAAACATATTTTCCCCAAAAAGCATTGATTTTTGAACTATAGGACTACAACTGCTAAGACTACAACCGTAAATTTGTTCTGACCAATCAAAATCAATGCCAACATGCTAACGTAACTTTTACGAACGTGGTATCGTAACTTCTCCGTAACCCCAAAATTCCACTACCTCCGCTCCGCTCCGGCACGAACTCCGCAGCAAAAATGGTCCCGTTGTAGTCAATCAGAGCTGTTCCACTACTGCGGCCGTGCGGCGCAGTGCGCCACCCTCCGTTCCGCCATCCGGCAAAAATAGGATCGATTCTATTTTTGCCAGACGCCGGAGCACCTCCGCAGTCAATGGACAGAAATCACAACCGCCCAACAGGAAAGGGAGCAAGCACAACTTCCGTTATTTCACAATAAATCGATAACAAAAAGCGTTTTTTTTGTTTCATATGCACAGGTTTAACAACTTTTAACAACTATCAATGGTGGTTGAACTTTAAATGCACAAAAATAAGCCATAAATACAGTTTCCACTATCAAAGTAGTCACCCTTTGTTGATCCAAACACTGCTGATCTCTCAACACAAATGATGGGCAGATTAAACAGTTCATTTCGATGGTTCTCCCGCAGAACGGGTGTTTGGATCTAACTTCCGCGTTTATTGCTCGGACTGTATCGCAAGATCTCGAAAATCCCACGCATGCCTGTTTGCGCACCTTAGGTCTCCGCACCGGAGCGGAGCCGTTGTAGAGCGGGTAGAGTATAATTTGAGTTCGGAAGCGAGCGGCAGCGGGGGCGGGGCGGAGCGGAGATAGTGGAATTTTGGGGTAAGTCTTATGTTCAGCCAATCACCTGCTGTAATGTAATTTGCACATGCAGAACCCCGAGCAGATCTGTTACCAATGCCAGCTGCTAACACTTCAACTTAAGGACGAACTACCAGAGTCCCAGAAAGAAAAAACATTTGAAGTAACGGACAACAAAAGACGTTTGGACCTACAAAACGGTGACTGGTGTTTAGTGTGCTCTCGTTTCCTCTGGTAATGCAGGTTTCTGGTATAAAGAAGATGTGGCTCAGGGTTGACTGTTGATGGAACTGTGTTAGCTGGTTTTGCTATTGCTGCTTTAAAAGATCCACAGAAACTTTCATATTTAAGAAAATAAGGGGCATTTTTCTACTTGTCAGAAAAGGAATGAATCAGAATGAGCTCAAACGTTCTCACTGTCAAATCTGCATAATTAGAAAATCACAGGAGATCCAGGAAATTGGTGCAACAATTCCTGATTGGAGGTTAAATGAAATGCACTTTTCCACATATAAACTCCCAGTTCGTGATGAGCTGTAGGAGGGAATTTTCCATCTGTTCAGGTCTCATTTTCTGCTCAGAAAAACTTCCGATGATGCATGAAAGTTGTGTTGTAAACAGTATTTATTATTGATTTCCTGTGAGCTGCTTAAGCCTCTGTAGTGTTGAATGGAAGGGGATTAAAGCTCCGTGTGACTTGTGGATCACAGTTAGTCAGCGATTCCATGAGAAGTCTTTTACCGTGACAGTATTTGGTTTTCTGTTTCTGTTCGAAATGACCAGCAGGACACGAGTATCTGAAAATATGCTGCGTAGTTGTTGGTATGTGTTAGGGATTTTCTCAATCACCTAATACCTGCAGCAAAGAGAAAAGAGTTCTGCTGGATGTGTTAGACTTGGGTTCTTTATTGTTGTGGATTCCTTTTAGCTTTACGGGGGAGGATTTGGATTTTATTCATTTTTTAATATATTTTCTCATATGTTTTCCCAAATATCTTTGTAAAGTGAAATTTAAAAAAATCCCCTTTTATATGTTTGCATCTGTTCAGCAGTTATCCACATATGTAGCACATGGGCGTTATGTTTCTTGCATGTTGTAATTGAGATTTTTCTGGTTTTCTTAGCGAACATGTGGCCGGCTCTCAGTGTCAAACTGTAACCACAGTTATTCATCCTAATCTTTATGGATTAGATGCTGATGCTGCAAAAAAACACAGCAGCTTCTCTCCTCCCACTGCTTAAACATCTGCTTTCATTTGTGCCATTGACTTTCTGTTATGCAATGCAAGTAATGCAAACCAAAACTTCTGTGTGATTCTGCACCCCCTGATTCTAATACCGTATTTATGACATGAAATTAAAGACGAAGAACAAGCAGGGCTGAATCTATTGTAGTTTCGTTTTATTTATTTTCAGGTTTTGGCACTAAAAAAGTCACAAAAACAAAGTAACTGATAAATATGATATTTAGAGTCATCCCATTCTGCTTCTCAAGCATATTGTTTTTGCCTTTTGCCCCTCATGAAGGCTAAATTCATGTCTCTTGTATGTTTGTGAAAGCCTACGCTATTAGCGGTGGCAGAAGGAGGGCAAAACACACCAATAGTATGAAACACCCTTCAAAAAGTAAACTTTTTATTTTCAGTTAAAACATTCAGGAATAATTTTCCATATGGTTCTTTTTCCAAGCATGGAACAATTATTCCATGACTGCACATCCAGGCTGCCTTAGCAGCTCTTCTCAGCTTTTATGGCAGCATTCTCATTTCATGTTTCTTTTTGTAATTATAGGTGCCTATATGTGATTTTTAAGGTGACTAAATGTTACATAAATATTTATTAGATTTTTGTCTTGAACAGACCTGACTTCAGACACATTTATTGTAGTTTCTAATGATTTTAGTGTTATAAAAGTACATTTTGTCCTCCTTATAGTTAAATTTTTATGTTTCTTCATTTAGCTGACACTTTTATTCAAAGCGACTTACAATTTATAACCTATAGGGCATGTTGTGATCTGTGGGAGAAACCGGAGTACCCGGAGGAAACCCACGCATGCATGGGGAGAACACGCAACTCCATGCAGAAAGGCCGCAGCCGAGCCGAGTTTCGAACCTGCAACCGTCGTGCTGCGAGGCAACAGTGCTAACCACTGCGCCACCATGCAGCCCAATTAATGAACACTGATATGTGTAATTCTGCTGCCCTCTAACTTTAATCTGTTCATGTAGTCATTTTAAATTGTGAACTCTTTATAGCTTTTCCCAGTCTTTCCAATCAAGCTGTTTTGATTTAGCAGGCATATAACTGAGAAATATACACTTTTTTGCAGTGTGTCGTGTAGGTTTGCTTAAATTGTTAGAATTTTGATCAATTAAATAAATCTATATTTTGATCTTTAACAAAGATATAGCACTGAATATTGAACAATATATCCCTGAAATGACATAAAAGCATATTACATTTTATATTGTATCAGAAATTGCAATAACAGTTGAGGTAGTGTATGTAATTCTAACCCAGGGAATGTCTTAACTTCCTCACAATTCACAACCAGTTGGTTTTATTTGAACCGTGGGAAATGGCAGGTCAGTCGGGGTCTGCTTGTTTTCAACTCAGAAAACATAAGAGTCCAAAGAGGTTCATAAAGGTGGAGGGGTGAGAGCCTCCTTGATGCTGATGGATTACAAGGCAGGATAAGGAGGATAGGTCTAAAAGGCCCTGCCTGACCTCAGACGGGGTCCTCAGCTTAGATGGAAAATGGGGGGAAAAAAACACAATAAAACACCTGGCCTTTGGTCAAAGTCTACCTGTGTGACAAGTCAGACTGTATGCACACACTCGGAACAAACCAAAGGAAATCAATCTTCAGTAGAGGAGGCTGTGCCTAGCTAGATATGTGACATTTATTAGACACCTACATAGAGTAAGTCACAAATCGATTTAAGTGTGACACAAATGTTGAGGTGATTCATTATTCTAAATGGTCCACAATGATCATTTTGTTTTAAGTCAGCCTAATTTATCTTAAAAGCATTAAAGCTGTGGTCTGTAGCATGGCGCCATCAAGGCAAAGAAGATTTAGAAATTTAAACAGTTATAAATCCGACCCTGCCTGGCATCACTCTGTAGTGCATGCTGGGGACCGGGGCACATTCTCACTGACTGACAGCTCCCACTTAACTTTTGGTCAACACTCAATTTGCTATAGAGGCCAGGGGAGGGCCTTAGGAGAAATATAAACAACCTACTTTACAAGATGTAACAAAGTCAGATAGTCAAATTTAAGTATTTTAAAGGTGCATGATGTACGAATGAAGTAAGACTGACATCTTGTGGTCAAATTTGGGTACTGCAGTCCATTTTCAAAATGAACAAGTGACTTTCTCACTTCTGTTCCATTTTTTGTAAAATTTATTTAACATTTATTTATCCAGGAAAAAAGTCCCATTGAGATTTAAAACCTCATTTTCAAGGGAGTCCTGCATGAGTTTCATGACTGTTGCCAGTTACGGATCCTCGTCAGAAGACTCGACGAGCGAAGACGAGTCATGCACAGTAAGATGACAAGTAGATAAATACATTTCACTGTAATATCAAGTGATAATTGTAAAAGTAACTTGAGATATTTTTATTGAATATTTGCTTTGATTTCATCATTAGCAAACATTGGCATCTAGTTTTCTTCACCCAATATTAGAGTAAAACAAGAAAAGTGTGGGTTCTTAGGGGTATAACTTCTGGTCTGCTCCTCGTACTGATTAATATACTGTCTACAACCTTGGAGCTTTTTGCCGACTAGTCTTGTATTACAAATGCTGATGCAGACTTGGCAACCCAGCGGACTTTTTTAAAAGGAGAATAACTGGCCTCCGCCTATTCGGCTGAAAAAGAAATCTTTTTAAATGTCACCTTCCTTCCAACATGATGGAGACATTAGGCTGATTTGTGATTATTTTGTACCTTTAAGTGACTTTTAAAACATAAACCACACACCCCAGCTATAACTGACAAAGCATGTTGCTCAGGTTAGCTAGTAGTGACAAATTGTAAGGGGGTGTACAGAATGTCTCAAAAATATTTGCAAGGAATCTTAAATCCTCAATAATTCACTTGGTCTTTTCCTGTGTTGCTAGAACTTTTAACATGTTTCTAAATACCTGTGCAACAATGTTGTTCTTATAATATAGATTTATTGTGTGGGTGTGTCAGTTTGAACACTTCTCAATTTAGTTTGCACGAAACTAAAGGCAAGAGGTGGGAGACAGCTTTGGGAGGAGTAGGCAATACAATTGCAAAACAGTCACATTTTTATTCAGATTCATCGTGTGCACAAACTGATTTGGTTAAAAAAAAGACTTGCAAAAGTGTACTTAAATGTGATTCCATCTATGGTTTTGCTTGAGTTCTTGCAATTGAATCTCCAACATGTTGCCAAGTGAGAAACCTGCCTGAAACATGAACATTTCCGATCTGGTGCCCCTCAGTTACGACTTTGGAACACACATGCTGTGTATAGTTAGCATTTTTACTCCAAATAACTAAAAATAGCCAAAGTTAATGGGAACCAGGGTATTAAGGGAGCAGATTTAGTCCATTTCTGTGATTGTGTAAACTTTGTACAAACTCTAGATGTGGATTTCAAGCCAACATTTGTTATTTGAGTTAAATATTTACATCCTTTATGTCAAGCCAGGCTTGGACTTTTTCAGACTAGGAACCATGTTCAGCAGTAGGGGTTCCACAGGGACAATAAAGGTGGTACACCTCTAATGTGTAATTTTACCAGAGAGCATGGTGTTCTGAGTCAGCCGTTCAGTAACTTCAGAACTAAATACATCTACCAAAATCAGAGAGGCAGCCGGTGAGAGAAATTTATAATATATTGCTGGTTGTGTATGGACTTTGCTGCTGGTTAAGTGGTCAAATAAGAAACCTGACCTGAAACTGCATTTTTGCACCTTTTCTGACATGATGCAGCAACTCAGGGTTTTCTGCTTTTTACACATTGAAAACAAGGAGGTAAAAAGTGTTATTTTTAGGAAATAAGTTGCTTCACTTCACAAAGCAAGTCAGACACCAGCACTTTCCTTCTCCTGACCTGACCTGATCTCAAACAATTGAGACTGTTGATTTGTTTGGTATAATCACAACATTGTTTGTGTTTATTTGCTAGTTAGTAAGATAATTACTTTATTTTGAATCTGAAAATGTTTTTAGCAAGTTGTTTGTTGCAGTTTTCTCAATATTTCATTTGGTGATAACTCTGCTCCCAAAATGATTTGTTCATTTATGGGTTCTGTGATTAGTCTCAATGGAAGATGAATTATAAAAGATAATGATAGCTTATATTTTTCTAAGGGAGCTATTTGATGTTTAACACTGTTTAAAAAGTAATGCTAAAATAATTATGTAAAATTCTGTAAATCTAATTTAAGGTTATATGTCTGCTTGATTGAAGGTTTTTCACTTGACCTGAGCTGACATGCTGACATGCTGAAAATAAACATAAAAGCAAAAAGTGAAGCATTGTTTCAGTGTCTGAGTGAAATCCAGTTTCTAAACTCTGGGTGGATGTTTACCCCTCTCAAGTGGGGAAGCACAAAACAGTGCAGGACTTGAGACTTTATCTTTCTAAACTGTGGTGACGGTTGTTTATTTTGCCTGAAGTATACAGACACAAGTGGGCCAGCAAGTTTATGACCTTAGAGGGTGAAATGATGAAGAGATCAAGTCTTGGAAGGAGCTTGGAAAACATGGACGGGGTTTAGGACATGTGAAGAAAGATAAGGATTATTGTGTCAAAAGTTTCCGATGTTTGACCGCAGCCTGCCGGATGGGGGTAAAGCTGCCGTTTCAGATTCCCAGGTTGAAAGCAGAGAGAATGTTGGGGAGAAAGTAGAGATTCAGACACAGTGTGAGAGTTTGCTACTAAGGGGAGGGTTTTAACCACACGTGATTCAATCGCATCTAATGGTCCAATCCAGAGAGACAAGTCTTGTACTTTGTTTCCAAATCGTTTGCTTACAAAGACGAACTTTGTTGGTCAATTCCTGCTATCTTCTTAAGCTGGAATGTCAGTCTTCTAAAGTGTGTCTTTGTACATTTTCTGCTTTTTAATTGTTTCTTTGCTTTTAGTCTTAAAGTGGCAATGTGTAGTTTTACTGTTAACCCTTGGAAAAATCAAACGAAACGTTGTTGAAAATGAATAAAGTGGTGTCCAGTCGTTGAAAAATATTGGCAGCTTCGTAACATATAACTGTAACCAGGTCCAAAGGGCACGGGTCGAGTGTCTTTGGGGGACGCCATATTGGAAGCCATGTTTCCTTCTGGCCGGCTCGGGGTCCTGCGCCTGTACGACTGGCTGGTCGTACGACTTACAGAAGCTATGTTACCACATTCTAAACATTTAGGGAGTAAGAAACATTGATTTAATAGCAAAACTGCTAAACTCTTTCCAAATCCTATATGAAAGAACAGAGTTAAAAAGAAGATGAAATATATTTTGGCTGAGCGGTATTGCCGTAGTATGGTGATGTCATCGGCAGGCGCAGGACCCCGAGCACATCTGGAAACCAAAGCGACAGAAAACTACAGTAGGCATTGCATTCGCCCAATGGAACAACTGAAGTACCATCAGAGTCTGAGGAGTCACGCCGAGGTTGCATATTTTCTAACAACATTTTCTATAATTTTTTTAAAAAGTAGTGACAGTCACGGTAATATGGTGTAAAACTACCCTAAAATGTATGTACTGCCCCCTAGTGCCAGAAAACTTCACACTGCCACTTTGGGCTGCATGGTGGCGCAGTGGTTAGCACTGTTGCCTCGCAGCACTAAGGTTGCAGGTTTGAAACTCTGCTGCGGCCTTTCTGCGTGGAGTTGCGTGTTCTCCCCATGCATGCGTGGGTTTCCTCCGGGTACTCCGGTTTCCCCCACAGATTACAACATGCTCCATAGGTTATAAGTTGTAAGTCACTTTGGATAAAAGCGTCTGCTAAATGAATAAACATAAACTTTAAGCCAGATAACACTTACAGTAAGTTTTAAATAGTTCAAAGATTAAAAAGAGCATCCAAATCAAAGGTTGAGCTGGTTTAATGTTGACCATGAACATTAGATTTTAGCCACTTGAACTTAACCCAAAAGTAGAAACTGAACTCAACCAAGCTCCCCCTGGTGGCTGGCTGCAGTACACTTTAAGCCCTTCCCCTTCTATTGAAGAGTTTGTTTCTTTCAGATGTTGAGTTTTTGTTCTAGTATTTAGCTGCAAATATGAATTTTCCCCAAATTACAGTTTAACTGATGCTGTAAAGACAAAATTCACAATTATTTCTGTGGCTTCTAGTATAAATGAATGCTTTGTGAGTCAGTCTCTGTGGAAAGTAGGCTCTCGAGGTTCTGTTTCAGGAACTTGAAGTAAGCCAGAGGAGTAGGGAGCAGAAGATGGCAGAATCTGGAGTCCTACTTCCTCATATTCAGACATCTTGTCTCTGATTGGCTAACAGCAAAACGACTCTACCACTCTACCATTTGCTTTGCAACTTGGATGTTTTATCTCCACAAATAACACACGCCTGGAGGAGTTCTGTCATGTGGTGAAGTTGCTAACGCTAATGGTACTAGCCAAGACGTTCTCTGCTCTTTCCTGGATGCTTAACCAACCACAGCCTTCCCCGTTACGAGTCAAGATTGGGGAGTCCATGCTAATTATCAGTGTGGCGTAGATTTTTCAGGGTTTTGATAGTCCAAGCATTTTTACGTCGATTTTATATCAGCGGCTAATGCAGGAAATAAGGGTAGGAGACTATTTTCATGATTGGCCTGCATGTGGAACTCAGAGTGACCAATCATATTTAAAAAATAACAAGTAAAAAACTATTTCTCTGTGAACTTGACCCTTAAAAGAAAGCAGAATAACTTTGACGCAGTACTACGATATTAGAAAGCAAGATTCAACGTCGTTCAAAGTAACATAGAATGAAATAAGTGCTTTTTTTTTTCTCTCAATACTGTAATCTGTTTCAGAGCTCCCGTGTTGATACTTTCTTGCCTGCCCTCGCCTCTCATTATAGAGTAATTCAAGGCCCTGATTCTCCCGAGAGTGGCAAAGTGGAATCAGTTCCAGCATTTAAAACTCTATCATTCAATCTGCTGAAACACAAGACAGAGCAAAGCAATACATTCCTGAAAGCTTGGGGTTTTTTTTCTCCAAAAGCACTCCTGCTTGCTGTAATCCTACGACCTGTAGCGCTCCACGACTGTCCGTTTGGGTCAGGTTCAAAGCCTTTTTAAATTTTTTTGTATACTTCCTGTACCGACCGTCATCAGAGCCAAATAAAACCACCAGTTGCCAAAAATAAGATGCCACAGTGGTGACTGTGGGCTCTTAGATGGTTGACTTGAGTGTTTTGCAGCCTGTGTTTTGAGGTTTCATACTTAATGTTTGGGTTTGTTTCTCTGTGCTTAGTGGCGTTTGAATTTTGTGTTTCTTTGGTTTAAATTGTTTTCTAAATTAGCAACCCTCCCATAAAGCCCCTTTGAAAGGTAATCAAAGTTTAAGTGTTAATTTAAAATCACTGAACTCCGTCCTCATTTCCCCCTCAGACGTGGTCCTGACACCTGTCCCTTTCTCAGACACGGTGTCTAGCAGCAGTATTAATGAATCCTGTCCTCGGCAGATTGTAATCAACACCTTAGCAGTTTAAAATAGCATCTTATTTATATCCTCCATGATACTTTTTTATATTTTGGCCATCATCCCGGAGTGCTTTCTCACCCCTCTGTGTGTTTGTGATTACTGCGTTGCCAGGAGCTTTTCTGCTAAACTTTATGGCTTCAGCAACAACAAGCATATCAGCAGCAGTCAGGACAATTTTCTGTGTATGTGATATGTGGTATGTCCTCCAGCGTGTTTATCGTAATGCTTAAACGAGTCGTTTTTCTTTGTTTCTTTTTATGAAGAGGCATGCATTGAGTCTTAAAGTGAGATATCTTAAACAAATGAGAGGTTTTGTCTCAGAAAATGATACTTAAATCTCTTTTTTCACAGAACTGATACATGGGTACAAACCCGATGGTGCAAACGTGCTTTATTTTTTTGTTATTTATCTTCATGTCTGGACTTGTCTCACAACTTTGATTGTCTCGGGTTTAAATAACGTTGGGTGGATGCACGTCACTTTTCGAGTTCTGCTCTGCAGGTGATGACTCGGGCTTTACCTATGTTTAACATTTTCCTGCAGTCAGGAATGACAGGCTGGGTTTAACAAAGAGATTTTGGACACGGTGCAAGAAAAGACATGCTAGAAAAGCAGTTTGCATAATTGCTAGTTGTGTGTCTGGAGTTTCGATGGAGTCAACTATTTCCAAGGAGAATAATGAAAGTCACCTAAATTCTGTTTAATGTTCTGATTTAATACTAAATGTACTGAATCCAGTGTTCACAGCTTTAAACAAAGTAACAACTTTTTTTTAAGGTCAACCAGCTTATTTTGTTTAAAAACAAACTTTTCAATGTATCAGGAAAATCAGTTTTAGATAGAGGTGTGTGTAGAAAAATCACAATTATTTAGTTCACTACTGATACCATAAATAATTAAGAATTATTATAGATTACTGTAGAAATGGTCAGGCCTGTTTTGAATAGAAATATATAAAATTTCATCTGTGGAAGCCAGAATATCCAAGCAGGGAGGGAAAAAAGTGCTGAAAACAATGTTTTTCATCACCGTCAGTGTGCACAATGCCAGCTGTGTCACCACCAGTGAGTGAAATGTATGTGAATAGAAGAATTATTCCTTGTAGTGTCAAGCGCTTTGAAGTCACATGACTCAAATGTGCTATACAAATGCAGGTTGTTCA